CCCAACTGAACTTCTATGAGGTTGAAGGTGAGCATCCAGACCCAAAAGATGCACCACTTCACTCTTTGAACTCTTTAACGAAAAGAAGCATCATGTTTTCCCTCAATCGGCAGGCGGGATTATTCCACTTTAGATGCTCTTAATACTTTGTTGAATGAGCTCCATTGATGCCATATTTTGTTTTTTTACTGGACTAAACTTACTATTTCAGCCCAACCGATGATTCTCTTCATGTTTTACCATTACTAGCTACTTGAACTTGAAATTGGGGTTAGTTTTTTGTAAAATGTATAATGCCTAAAACTTTTAATAGAGTGTTAAAATCGTCTTCTTTTTGCTTAGGAAACTTATAATGCATTTTTTCACATTATGTTCACTTCTATCTTAGAAAGATGCATATTACCCTTTTATATTGACAATGTATGCATTAACAAACATTGATGTATGTCACATATGTAAAAATTGAAGATTAAATTCAAATTGAGATTACATGACATGTGTCTATAGTCACTAATATGTATACAAGACTTTTACAAAGTAAGATGCCAATTACTTTTTATTTCTTTTAGTATGATTTCCCTAAATATAAATTTTTTCAAAATTTACCATTGAGCAAAGTGATGCACAAATACTACTCAAAGAAGACATTGAAGGGATTTCAATCCCACGTTTTTCACATGGATGGACATGATTAGTGTGATGCCCTAAATCCGGATCCTAGACCAATTTTATAATGTGGCACACCCTATCTATGAAATCCTACTCTCACAAATACTATGCATTTTAATTATGACTTATAAAATTCACTAAAATTTAAAACTTACATTTACTCCATTGATAACATCGCCAATATTAAAACGAATAAAAAATTCAAATCATCTGTATGATAAATGATTATAACACGAGAATTTTGAACTCTTAAATTAAGTTAAGCAATTCATTTAATACGCTTGCTAAACACTTTACTTTATAATTCCTTGAGTTCATTGTCAGTTTATTTATCTCTCTCTAATCTGCTAAATGTAAGGTGAAAAATTTTGTAGAAGTTTTTGTAGGGTAAAAAACTTTTTTTTTCCTTTTCTTTTTTTTTCTTTCTTTTTTTCTTTCTCTTTCTTTTTCTTTTTCTCTTTCTTTTTCTTTTTCTTTCTTTCCTTTTTCTTTTCTTTCCTCTCTTCTTCTTCTTCTTCTTCTTCTTCCCCCTATCCCTTCCCCGTTACCTCCGCCACCCCCAGCAGCAACTCCACCAATGCCACCTCCCGCCACCCCTCTCCTCCATTTCCCCTTCTCCTCCCCTCTGCCCCGCCACCCCCCTCTGCACCTTCGCCCTCTGCCCCGCCTTCCCCCTCTGCCCCGTCACCCCTTCCCCCCACCCCTGCAAAAGCTTCCCCGCCACCCCTCCCTCTCCCTCTCCCTCTACCGCCACCTGAGTTTTGCACATGAGTTTTGCAGCAATAGAAATGATTTTTTTTTTCCAATGTTCCATCTCCCTCTCCTCTCCTTATCTTGCCGGCAGAATAAGCAGCAACAGCTGAGTGTAATTTTTTTTGCAATTTTCCTTCTCCCCAAGCTGCGGGAGGGGGAAGATGGCGGGGAAAGGCAGAGGGAAAGAGGGGAGGGGGGAGGGAGAAAGAAAAGAAAAAGAAAAAAAAGATTTTGGAAACCAACATATCAGTCAAAGGGGGAAGGGAGGGAGAGAAAAAAAAAAAAAAAAAAAAAAGAGGAAGGCTGGCAAAAGTTGGCCGGAATAGTTACCGCGTGCCGGAAGCGGTGATGGAGGTGGTGGCCGGTTGGGTGGGGGAGGAAAAAGAAGAAAAGTTGAAGGGAAAGTTTTTTGTGTATTATTTTGAAGTGTGTAAGTAAAAAACTTTGATAAGTTTTTTGGGATTCCTGTAGCAAAAGTTGTTAAAAAACTAGTAACTAAAAAACTTGGCCAAAAACTTCACTTCCAAACAAGCCCAAAAACTTCTACAAAATTTTTTCAAAAATTTCTACAGTGCACTACAGTAAATACAGTAAAGTTTTAGACAAACTCCCAAAAAACTCAGGTTCCAAACAGGCCCTTAATCGTTCTTCACTTCTTGATCTGCAAGAAAAGTAATGATAATGTAGATTGAATGATGTACGCCCAATAAATAGTACTTATTCTTTTGTGGATCATGTAATTATATACATACTACATATTTACAAATTTAGTCACGCAATTCCACATGCATATATCAACTTGAAAACCTTTAGCATTGTTTCATATATACATATACATATTTCATTGAAAAGTTGGCGGCATACATATAAATGACCTCCATTCGATATGGCACTTGATCCCTAGGTTCTAGAGGTGGCCTCCGTCGAACATGACATAGAAACAATTAACATGATATGATCATATTTGTAGAAAATTCTTGTAAATCATATAACATGTCATTCACGTCATTTCTTTCCATAAGACATAACTCATAAACAAGTACACATAATATCCGACTTTTGAGTACTAAATCTAGAAATTAAACGCCTTCCAGGAGGGTGATCAAAAGGTTTCTAGATTACCGTTTGATCACATAATATAGCATGAGTCAATCGATCTAACACAACAGTTAACATGACTATCATAACATATCACAACTATAGTCCCTACTGTTTATTTCATGACTGTTTGCAGTTTTTCTCAATGTAAATTCATTTCACATATCACATGCATATTGCATTCATGTCATATTTGATAATATAGAAAAGAATTTCAAATAAGCGTATATGATCCATTTTACATATAACAAAGTAAGTCTTTCATTTGAAAAAATAAGCATATAGCATTTTAAAAATATAGAAGGACAACACCACCTACTTCAACTACTCATCGGAAGTGATTCTTAACATGGCCTCAAATTTGCTTCAAACCTATAATCAATAATATATATATATATATATATATATATATACACATATATAAATGTACTTGAATAGTTTATGCAGATAAATTTCCAATTTTGGAAAGCTTCTTAATTTAGAAAGTTTCCTTTTTAAAATGTTTTCCAATATGAAAAGTTTCCCATTTTTTAAAGTATTCTAATTTAGAAAGTTTTTAATTTTTAGGAGGTTCCCTGATTTGAAAACTTTTCCTTTTTAGAAAATGTCTAAATTCATATGTTCATAAAGAAACTTCCTATTTTAGTGTAAACGGGCCTACATTAGTTAAAAATGTATTTGAGTTTAGACTTGACCTTAGAAGTAAGCCCATTCATGAAAGGGTCTTATTCATATTTATATTTCGATTTATAATTTATATGGACACTTAAAAGAGTCTTTGAGTTCATTTATTCACAACTTGGTCTTTATAACAACATTGGACTTTTAAAATAAATTCTTTAAGGTGTCTAATTAATATTGGGTCATTGCTGCAAATTTGGGGTTTTAAAATAATCCAATTTATGAAAATGAATTGGTCTAATTAATTTGGGCATTGCACTACATTATTATATTTCGTGGGCTTAATTTGAAAACACTTTGAACTCAATTTAACTAGTAGGATTAGTTAATTCAAAACTAGTCCAATATCAAATCTTTTGGGCTGTAACTTAGATTTGAACCATTTATTGCGCAATGTTATACCGTTTCTGGCCAAGAGTACATAATAAAATCCACCACTGAAAGCCATTAAAATTACCAAAAAATTCTATTGCCAAGTTAACGTCTTTTACCGAAATATAGCCACAAAGATCTGCAAATTAAACATAATTTCCTGTTGTTATTTAGAGAAGCTTATTGGAGATATTTTCCCCTTTTATCTTTTAGCTTTCCTTCCCTCTGTTTCCTATTAGATTTTAAAGCCTCTATTTCCCTTTATTCTCTAACCAAATCTGAGGTTTCTAAAGCCTCTGTTTCCCTTTATTCTCTAACCCAATCCCAAGTTTCTAAAACCAAATATGAGGTTTCTAAAGCCTCTGTTTCCCTTTATTCTCTAACCAAATCCCAAGTTATCAAAACTGACAAAACTTGTACCTCATATTTCAGACATCTTTTAGGGCTCCTAAGAATGAAAATCTTTGATTAGTGAAAGAGGAAACTAAGGAATATTTGAAGAAGAGTTCACAGCCTTATGGAAGAGTCGAATTCTTGTATTCTCTCCCTTTGCTCAATCTTTTGATGTCAACCTTTATTCAATTGAAACTCTTATTCTCTGTTTTTATGGCTTTCTTCTTGAAACGTAGAAATTCAGCTCCTGATAGTTGGAGTTAGTTCACATGAAGCCGCTTCTTCCTAAAATAACTCTACCACTCAAATTAACTTCCATCTTTTACTTTATCTCCCATAATATCCACTAGTTCACGTCCATCCTCACTTTCTTTCCCATGATATCTATTAAATTTGCACGTTAAGTCACTCATTTAGTTAGTTTTCAACTTCCACTATCCCTTAGTGATTGACATAGGATAGGACCTTAACATCAACCATTAAAAAAATAAATTAAGTAAGTAAACTACAAGTAAAATAATTAATAACTAGTGGTTAAGTTACATCCAATGTGTGTACTACTAATGAAAAGATATTAAAAATAATTAGTACTATTTTTGGTTGGAAAATAGTAACTTAAAATAATTAAACTGTTGTGATAGTTTTAAATAGTGGTAGTTCTTTTTTTGTTAGAAGAGTGGTAATTAATTCAACAGATATGGAGTGGTTGTAAGAAGATGAGTAATCAAAATAATGTAATTCTCTTTAAAAGTAAGGCAGATTGGACAACACGTTAATAATATTAGTTAATTAAATGGCTTTAAGTAAGAGAGGCCGAAAATTCGGCCTTTTACAATTAGTTAATATATTTCATGCTTTCACCAAATAAAAAAAAAATTCTTACATTTGAGCAAATCATTCAAGGTCCGGTCAGACCAGCAAAGCTGAAATCCGGTCAGACCATCAGTCCAAAAAACCGGTCCTTCATTCCTCGCTCCTCTTTCATAAACTCCAGCTTCTCATCCAAACCCATTCCCCACTCCTTTCCAATTTCACTCTGCAAAACCTCTAAAATCTTTCCCCCAAAAACACAGAGAAAAAAACAACAAAATTTTTCATCAATGGACTCAACTTTGGCCATGGCATCATCACCATCACCATCTTCCCTCCTCCACAGTAATCCAACCTCAAAGTTGTATCGCCCCATTTTCAATTTCAAACATCCTTCTTTTAGACCTCTGAACAGTAGAAACTTCACCATTATCAAAGCTTCTTCAGATTGTAATTCGAGTTCAAATTCTAGTTCTAATTCCTCCAATCCAAATCCTTTAATTTCCAGTCTGAAAACGACCACTGCAGCCATAGTTTTTGCCGCCGCAGTTTTTGGAAAGTTCCACCAGTTGCCGGCCGGGGCCGGGGCCGGGGCCTGCCCTCTAGCACCACCACCAACTCAAGCAAATTCACCATTGACCCCTATTTTGGAATCCGATCCTCACATTGTTGAGGTCTTCCGAAGCTCTCTCATGCTGATGCTCAACAACGGTGAGTATGAGGAGGTGTTGAAGACGTTGAGGAAGTTAAGCTCAGCACAGCCGGAGAATACAGAGTGGAAGTTTTTTATGGCTAGGCTGTTGAAAAAAATGGGGAAACCTCAAGAATCAAGAGGTGTTTTTGAAGAGATTTTAGCGAGAAACCCATTGTCGTTTGAGGCATTGTTTGAAAATGCTTTGTTGATGGACAGGTGTGGAGAAGGGGCCTCCGTTATGAATAGATTAGAAAAGGCATTGAAGATAGCTGAGGAGAAGAAGAAGGTGAAGGAGGCTAGAGATGTGAGGTTTATAATGGCACAAGTACAGTTCTTGCGGAAGAATGTGGAGGAAGCATTAAAGAGCTGCGAGGAACTTGAGAAGGAGGACCCTAAAGATTTTAGGCCTTATTTTTGTAGAGGGATGATTTATAGGTTTTTTCTGCATAAAAACAAAGAAGCTAGTGAACAATTTGCCAAGTATTGCAAGCTTTCACCTAAGAAATTCGAGATTGAAGGCTACTTGGGGTCTCCATATTGAAGGATGAAGCTTTTTGGAACAGATAAGGACGAGAATTGAGTTTTTGGTTTCTGATTCAGAGTTTTTATAATTTGGTTGCATTTTCTGTTCTCTGCCAACTTGGAGGCCAGAAAGTGATCAATAGGGTATGCCGGAGGTTTTTTTTTTATTTGAAGATGACGGTGAAATGCAGCAAATTTGGCTGCTTTACCGCAAGCTAGGGATGCTTTTGATGAGATGAATAATGGATACATTCTTTGTAGTTTAAATGAAATTAGCAACATAAGACTCAGTGCTTTACTTTGATTTGCTGTCCATCCTATTGTGCTTAAAAATGAAGATTAGATCAACTCAACTGACATAATTGACCTGGATGACTTGCTTCCTGCTTTGTCTCATCTATTGATTTGTCATGTTTCGTTAAAATTGATACGCTAGGGTCTAATTGGTTCGGACCCGTGGTCTCAGTTTAGTAATTGAAAGTTCGTACATTTAGTGGATAAGTTACAGTCTGAAGCATTCATAGCAAGCACTACATTCTATGCAAGAGTTTACATTTTGCTTTTTAATCTCTGTTACTTGTACTGAAAAGTGATCCTGCTAAAGGTTCTAAGAAGCATTAGAACTAATTTGCTCACTGATTTCATCGTTTAAGTGACTTTACAATTTGCCTCATCTATTGACTGAAAAGCAATTTGGTAAATTTTCCACAAATATCTTTTTTTCTAGAATTAGTTTAGAAGGTTCTTTGTTTCTTTCTCTTCTTGCTTCGTTTTCTTGAAGTCTGTATTTATGAAGGTCCTGCTCAACGAGTGTTTAATTGCCCCTGATCTTGTTATTAGGTAAAAATTGGGTATCTACCTCGAAAATTTGTGCTTAAAATGTATTAAGTGCAGATTCTAAATGGCATAACGTCTTATTCCATCTACGCTTTACAGAATTTCAAAATGCGAATACCAGTCATGCGGAAAGAATAAACTAGCCTCACCTTCTCCAATCAACTCCTGCATGCACCATCCGTACCCCTGATTCCCACCCGTAAATGAAAGGAAAAAACGTCATCAAATGAAACTTTCCAAAAGGCAAAAGAAGGGTTCAGTAACAATTGAAGTCGACGATGATGCTAGACAAATCAATCAATTACGTAGTCTGCTAAAGCAAAACTATAAAGAACAAAAAAGAACAGGAAAAGGACACATGTAGTATCAGGACTGGTTTATGGAAATTACTGTTATTCCGTTTCTTCTTTTGAAGTAAGGAACTCAAACTTCAGTTCATAAATTCCAAGCAAGCACATTTTATTTTTCTTTTCGCTCTCACTTGTTTTAATTGTTTTTCTTGCCTTTCCATGACAAGATCACTAGTTATTGGTCATGGATTTCGGGTATTGCAGTCATAGGTACACACTGGTGATGCACTCCATTCTGGTACCATCGATATAGATCAGAAATTATGATGAACTCATGGAAATATCAAGGATTTATTCAAGGGATAATTTCAGAAACCTCAAAGACCTTTGAGGTTTCTAACAGTCTCAATCACCTCCCCTGAAGTTCCGAAATTCTCATCTACCTCTCTTGTCGGATTATTGGGCCTCAAATATGACATCATGGATGATGAATTGACAAAAATATCCCTGCTGTTGAAGTAATATATTCTGATAATGGGATGGCTTAATTAGTGAAATGAGTAATACATAGGATTAACTAACTTAACTGGAATTTGGATGCAAAATGAATTCCTAATTTCGGTTAAAAGAAAAGGCGCCAAAAAAGGGCACTCATTTGGTTGTTGATGTGACAATGAGAGCTGACTGATCGTTTGTTTTGGTGAGGAATAGACCTTCATCAGCGATACTAAGAATGAGAAGAGCATTTGAGAGCTCCTAGAGAAGCGGGAGAGTTGAAGAAATTGAGTTCAAGAAATTGAGGTGAAGTATTGCTGGAAAGGGTGAAGTATTGCTGTTCTGAGAGCATCCGAAGCAAAGCAAGGTTAGATACTACGTAGCATATGGCTGAAGATGTTACTGACCGTGTGTCATTGAGCATGTCTTCTTATTTTTGGGCATTTGCTCTGCGTGTCTGCTTGTGTTAAAGTTGATTTTATGACAATGTTTTCATTATTTCTGGTTATAATAGTTATAAACTAGAATGTGTATTCATGCATATTTGATGGTGCTGTTTATATGAATCATACAAAGTGGTTTGCATGAGGTCGGAAGAGTTAGTCTGAGCTAGTATTATATGTTTGTATTCATTGAAGTTCACAAATGGTGATCTGACATTGTAGGATGGTGACTGGCGATGTTCATGACATTGTACTCCATTGTGGAGGGACAAAAGTACGAATTCCTAATATAGATCCTCAAAATTACTCCTTCATTAAGCTGCTGAATGATGTTGCCTAGAAGGCATTACATGAAATGCCTGGAAATGTTAATCTTCTTATACATAAGAGATTTGCAATACCTGGAACAGAAGGTTACATTGATATGAATGATGATGAAGTTGTCCATGATATGTTCTGCATGTATGAAGGTCAACTAGTCATAAACATAAAGGTGTTCAACATGGACATTATCCCTGTTGAACAACCTGCCATGTTGTTGAATAGAAAGATTGATGGTGACCATGAGCACATAGAAATTCAGAACAAACATTTTGCATGCTCAGATGAGCAGAATGTTCATGTTATTGATAGTGAGGATGAGGGGTATGGTTGTGAATCTAGCCCTAATGAATCATGGAAGCAAGGATTTGATGATGACAATGAAGATGATATAGGTGATGAGCTTATGGCACCGTCCGATAGTGATAGCAGTGATGAAGATTTTCCAGAGTTTGATGATAATGATGTAGCTGAAATTGTACCTGATTCTGAATTTGTGCAAGAAATTGACTCTTTAAGAGAAGTGTTAAGATCAAAGATATGGACTTACAATCCAAGGGACGACATAGATTTCAAGAAGGGACAACTATTCACTAATGTTGATGCCTTTAGAGCAGCACTGAAGGATTATGTTATCCAAAAAGGATTTCCTATCAAAAGGCTGAAGAATCAGAAAACCAGGTGTACTGCAATCTGTGATGTTGATGGATGTAGTTGGAGGATTCATGCGTCCCCTGTAGCTGATTCAGTAACATTTATGATTAAATCATACACACTTGAAGACACATGTGTGATGGATAACAAAAATCGTGAGGCCACCTCTGATTGGATGGCCAAGAAACTTGTTGCTGTGATGAGAACCTATCCTTACCTATCAAGAAAGGGCATTGAAGCTGAGATGCTAAAATATGATGTGCATTCTAGCAAACAACAAGTGTATACAGTCAAACAAGAGGCAAGAGAAGAGATTGAACGCACACATTCTGAATTATATAGTAAACTGCCAAAGTATGCTGTGCTTCTAAGGCAACATAATCTTGGTAGTGTATGTAAGATTCATTATGATAGACCAAATCTACTAGTTGAACCAAGGTTCCTGAGACTTTTTATTAGCTTTAAAGGACAGAAAGATGGATTTTTAGCTGGTTGTAGATCCTTTATTAGATTTGATGGATGTCATTTGAAAGGTAGTTTTGATGGAGTATTGCTGATTGTTGTAGCATTGGATGCTAATAACAGCATATTTCCAATTGCATTTGCTATTGCTGAGGTCGAAAACAAAGAGACTTGGAGTTGGTTCTTTCATTTCTTTGAAGAATTCTTTCGACCACTCCATAGCAATATTCCTTTAACTTGCATGAGTGATAGACAAAAGGTATTATTAAACACTGAACTTGTTAAAATTTGGACAACCTGCTGTGTAGAAATGGTATCCTCTGCTGATTGGTTTTGCTTTTCATGTAGGGGCTGAACCTTGCATATGAACAGCTACTACCATCTGTGATTGAAGATACTATTGCACACATATTTGCAGTAACTTCAAATCTCAGTTTCCTGGAATGTTACTGACCAGCTTCTTTTGGCAAGCTGCTAAGAGTTATGATGCAATTGGATTTAATGAAGCAATGCAGAGTATCAAGGACATGAATATAGAAGCATGGAGGTACTTATCCAAGATTCCAATTTCTGCTTGGGCTAGGCATGCATTCTCAATAGAGATGAAATGTGACCATGTCACAAACAACTTCATGGATCCTTTAAGGCATGCATTGGATACTTAAGGGGCCAACCAATACTGACACTTGTTGAAGGTTTGAGAAAAAAATTTATGAAAAAATTGCACAAAAGGTACCAAAAGGCTTGCACATGGACGTCTGCTATCCTAAAAAACATTACAGAAAAGCTAAAGGAAATTGCAATACATTCTAGGAGATGTTCATTGCAGATGGCAAGTGACGATTTGTTTGAAGTTAGTAATGGTGACAGAGCATTTATAGCGAATTTGAACTAGAAGACATGTGACTGTGGAGCTATCCAATTGTCAGGACTCCCATGCAAGCATGCTGCACTTGGAATTATATACAGAGGACAAAAATTGGAGACATATTGTGATCCTTGCTTCTCAACAGAAATGTATCTCAAGACATACAGTGGAATGATCCATCCAATTCCTCACGAGAAGAGATGGCCTCCATTACTTGATGTCACACCAAAAACTGTCCTTCCACCACCATTGAGAAGAGCTCCAGGTCGTCCAAGAGTTAATAGAAGAAGAGGGCCTGATGAGCCAGGCCAATCTCAAGCAAAAAGGTCAACCACTATGAGATGTGGAAACGGCAAAGCTTTTGGCCATAATACTAGAACATGTCAAAGAGCACCTGTGAGACAAAAGAGTACAAGCAGCAATGGCACGAACAAGGTTCAATCTAGTGATTTAATTGACAGCAATGATTTTGCTAAGCAAGCTTGTAATTTGTTATCAATTTTCATGTCAGGTTACTCAAAACAGAGGAAAGCCAGGAAAGGGAATTGCAAATACAGGGCTTGCAGGATTTGTTCTATGGGTTAGATTCACATAGAGACTTTTCCTATGATGACAGGGCACAATTTGCTAATGCATGGGTGATTTCTGCAGGATCATGCTGATGGCAATGTGCCTATTGTGGTTTCTAGTCAAGGCAGCAACCCAAGTCCATCAACTCAATCTACTGCAATGAATGCTGAGTTAAATTTGCAAACAACAACCAATGCTACTAAGAGAAAGGTATTTGTTCCTTAATCCCTTTTACATCATATTTCCACTAATTTGGCTAATATACATGCCTGTATATTAATACATGCTTAGACCAAAATTTCAGAGATGACGGCCTTCAAACAAATCTGCACCATCTGCTGCATATAACCCCAATAGGAAAACTTCAACAGCAGCATCTCAACCAATTGCAGTTCAGCCTACTGCTGCACTACATCCCAGTGGAAGTGTTGAAGTACAAATAGTTGTCAACATCAATGCTTCAACTTCTCATGATACTCACAATGTCAGTAGCAGCTTCACCTTTTAGTAGTCTCTGATTAGGAGTCTTTTGTTATTTGGATGACAGAGATACATAATATCTGATCATGTGGTATTAACATTGGAGAAATGTGATATCTGATCTTTTGGTGATCTCATTTTGGTATCTGAACTTTTGATATATGATCTTTTGGAGAAATGTATTTTTTTTGTATCAACCTGGATGCCTGAGTGGTGCCATTTGGCTGTTGTATATATAAATTTCAGCCCACTCAAAGCTTTTGTATTGCTGCAACTAAGTAGTATGAAATGGTTGTTGAACAGAAACTAAAGTTTCATTTGCAGTATTACTTCTAGACTGTGTTTTTGTGTAATCAATGCTTGTGGTATTCAATAAGCAAAACTAGAATCTAATACATTGAAGAATCTAGTTCTTTACTATTATAAACTACATCTCATTTAATCTCTTTTACAATCAACATAAAAACATAAATAGCTAAAAATACAAGGTTCATTATAAGCAACCATTTCACTATGGAGTTCGACTGGTCTACGTTGCCAATCTGCACTTGATCTTCTCTTTGCATGATTGAATGTCTTTCTGCTCTTTGGCTGCTCACTTCACCATCTTCAGACCCTTCGAACCACTGAAAGAATATCAACATAAAAACATAAATAGCTATGAATAAGAGGTTCATTATAAGCAGTCATTTCACTATGGAGTTCGACTGCTCTACTTTGGTAAACTGCACTTGATCCTCCTTTTGCATGCTTGAACGTTGATCTGTTCTTTGGCTGCTCACTTCACCATCTTCAGGCCCTTTGAACCACCGAAAGAATTTGCAATTTGAGCAGCAAAAATAAAGCTTGGTTGGATTCCTCTTGCTCTCAGAAATTTTAATGGTTGCTTTCCGATGACAATGGCAATATCTGTTTCTTATTGAAAATGAAGTTGGAGAATTCCATGATGAATCTTCCAGGCTTGAAGAAGCCATGTGCATCTGTTTGTAGCTAGTTCAGCTTATACTTGTATGAGCACTTTTGCTTTACCTCAGCCACAACCCAACAATAGCCAAATGCTTTATGTTGCAACTCCAGTTTGCAATTATAGAGAGCTCCAAGGCAAGACTACTGTTTCTTTTTACCGTTACAAACAACTGCACAAAGAGCCGTTGGCATGAAGCAGAAGACAATTTCTTGTAGTCATCCTTGCCTTTTTCCATCAATTTTATATACACCCCCTAAAATTTCAAAGGAACTAGAAGCCTTTATACTATTCAACATAAACATCCTCACTAATGACAATCTTGAGGGCAGAGGTGGAATTTCTTTATTTTCTCTCTCCTGATACATATTTTATATTCATTGTCCACCTCAATTGGGTTGAATCTGATACTATATATCTACTTAGTTTTAGGGGAGGTAGATGAGAATTTCGGAACTTCAGGGGAGGTGATTGAGACTGTCAGAAACCTCAGGGGAGGTTTCTGAAATTATCCCTTTATTCAATTGGAAACTCTTTAATGGATTCTTTTTTATGATCATGTTATAGTTAAAATCAATTGGAAAAAATTGTGTGAATTCATGTTGATACTTCATAACCTACGCCCAGATTGAACAGTATTTGTTTTACCAGTTCGTGAATATATGCTCTCGCCTGTGACGGGCAGCCATGGCCAGCTGCAATATCTGCTGCTGCAGTAAGGCAATCACTGACAGGTAGATTGTAATCGAGTCAGAGAGCTCGTGGGTTAGAGAGGCTGTTGGAACGAGTCTTGGATTTTCTTTGTTTCTTTTGAGATGCTGAGTCCAGAAGGGAGTGGGTTTGGGAATTGGGGTGGTTGAAGATCTGAAACAACTTGGTTAGAATTCTCATTTTCAAGGTAGTAACTTAGGCTGTCCTGGCAGTGTGGTTGTGATCATACTTGCTAGTGCTTTCACATCAAATGCTCTAGTTTATCGATTAAACATGTTCAGAAGGCTGGAATGAACGGTGTGTGGGATTTTACCATGACTGAAAATCTTAAAAACATTTCTTGTGCCCTGCAGTTGGATCTCTTAAATACCTAGTGGCATGGACTTGTCCAAGTTTGCCTGCCTCTCTCCACTTTTAGTTCAACATAAGACCTCCTGTTTGGATGATAAATCATCTGCCTAGCAAAACGTGAAGAAAATTTGGCAATTCTCACTTTTGTGTAATGCGGCATGAACAAAACAGCAGCTTTTTCAAATGTTACGTATGGAAAAGACCAAATATAAAATTTTCTACTTTTGATCATATTTCTCATGTTGTTTATGCGTATTATGGTTTCCTTCTTATTTAGCCATCAGGTTGTGTTTTGTTAGCAGATGATGTAAACTTAGGCCAGCTGGAAGAGACATATGTCCTAGGGTCCCCAGAGATCTTATTTTTAGCTGTGGGGATGTGTCTCATTTGATTTGGAATTATTTTGGAGCTTTGGTTGGGATTGCTGCTTTAGAATCTTGTTTACATGTCCGACTCATCACTTGGTGGTTGACTCAAAGCAATAACAAGTTTGTTAAATTTGTTGTGCATATTCTGTAAATTAATCTTCATTACTCGGAATCTTTGGAAGGCTTGTAATGCCTTCATTTTTTCTGCACAATTGGTTAATAGTGACACATTGTGCAGATAGACTTTTCAGGATGTTAAGGATGCATTTTCTCTTCAGGTTGGGTGAATCAATATGCAGAGAGAGTCATGGCAGACTTTCTTGGATTCCATTTTGACAGCAACTAGATCTTGTTCTTTTCAAGTGGTTCAATGGAAGCCGTTCATGCAGGGTGTGGTTAAACTAAATATTGACAGTAGTTCCAAGGAAATACAGGGATAAGTGGAGGTGGTGGCATTTTAAGAGATGACCGAGGGAGCTTAATTGTGGCTTTTTCATGTCATTTTGGAATCGCTACTAGTCTTCAGGCAGAGGCACGTGCCATGGTTTTCGGTATTCACCTTTGCTTGAAAAGGGGCTATTCTCTTATTCGTGTTGAGTCTGAGTCCTTGATGAGGGCCTTTATCTGTACCCATGTTTCATTCAGCCGGCGTTTGATGAGATATCTAGTCTTCGTTCCCACATTCATCAGTTTCACTCTCTGCTTCCGAGAGGCAAATCATCCTGCAGATGCACTTGCCAATAAAGGGTCCAACCATTATGTTATTAGAGTTTATAGCTCATATGTTGAGTTTCTCCACTTAGTCATGGGGGAAGTCAGAGAAGATGTTAGAAGCAAGGCAACCTAAGAGGCGGTTGAATTAGGTTGTGCAGCAAATAAGACAACACTATAAAATTTAAACTTTTGGCTGGGCACTTGAGAGGTTATTCCTGCAAGTAAAGTTAGTACAACTGGAATTTGATAGATATTGGAAAGATTATGAATTGTAAGTTCGAAAACTAAACAAACTCACTATGAAGAGCTTTTTCAATCAGAACTATATTTGGATGGGAGTGTTTTTCAAAAATAGTAAAAATTTTTAAAAAATACTCTAAAAGGTAATCTAAAAATTAGTTTAATTTTTTTTTAAATTTTAAAAAATATCTTAAAATATATTCTAGAAACTCTTTCACTCTTAAATATCCCAAAATATTTTCTAACAATATCCCAAAATATAATCTAAAAACTCTGCTACAGCAAAATTTTTCAAAAATACCCCAAAAAACAACTAATCCAAACGGATATTTTCCACAGAAGTTCTTTTCCGCGAAAATATTCACCTTTTTCAATATTTTCTGATATTTGGTTGAAATT